CGATTTTGTACTCTGTCCTGATGGGCTGCCTGATGATGATTTTGTTGATGTCATTAAATTCATTCCAGTCTTCATCCCTTAAAATGAGACAAGAAATGGTTATGCAGACATTCATGAAACATTTGTGACTGAAAACATCCCATCAGCCCTTTCCTAGATAACCACTCATCTCTCTCCTAAACCCAACACTTATTGTACTTGCAGGATCCCTTGTGGTAGGAAAGAATGGTGAATCTGACTCTATGTTCTTAGAAGGCTAACTTATTATTTTATGATACTATATTATATTAAAGAATGTTATACTAAACTACACAAAAGAATACAGAAAGAATACTTACAAAAGGCTAAAAAGATAATAATGAAAACTTGTGACTCTTTTCAGAGTCCTGACACAGCTTGGCACTGAATGGCCAAAGAGTGACAACAACTTACAGCAGAAACTAATAAAACAACCACTTGTTGGTAAACAATCTCTAAACACATTCCAAAGGAGCAAAACACAGGAGAAGCAAATCAGATAATTATTGTTTTCCTTTTTCTCTGAGGCTTCTCAGCTTCCCAGGAGAAAAATCCTGGGTGAAGGGATTTTGCCAGAAAACGCGAATGCCACAAACACTCACTGAAGATTGATGTCCCTGACGAGGGGCTCAAACTTGGGACCTCCAGGAATGGCCATGTTCAGTGCCTTGGAGGTGAAGAAAGCTTTCAGGTCAAACAGGTAGAAGTAGTTGTCATCCACCAGGTCAGTGAGCAGCTGGTTGGCCAGGCGGTACAGGGTGGACATCATGGGGAGGGTGAACTGCCAGCGCTGGTACGTGGAGCCGTTCACGTACCTGGGGAGGCACAGCAGGGACACTCCAGGCACAGCCACAGCACCACAATCACCACACACCTTTTGCCAGCCAGCATCCATCAAGGACAGGTAACACATGGATGTCTATAGACTGGAAAAAGGCTGCAGCACTGTTAAAGACAACTCTGGACTCCTCCTGCCCTGAAAATGCTGGCTGCTCCAGCTCCTCTCCTCCTGTGTGTCCCAGCTGACACAGAACATCTGTGCACCTTCAGCAAACCTCAAATTCCAGCTGGACTGCAGGCTGCCAGCTTTACAGCATGGTCAGAAACATCAGTTTTAGCAGGTGGGTGGGTAACAGGGCTCCTGGATAGAGGGGCCTTGCTGGATGCTGAACCATGGAATCCCAGAATGGTCAGGCTTGGAAGGAACCTTAAAAGTTTATCTTGTTCCAAGCCTTCCACCTTCCACCATCCCAGGTTGCTCAGAGCCCCATCCAACCTGGCTTTGATCCCTTCCAGGGATGGGGCAGCCACAGCTTCTCTGAGCAACCTGCAAGCAAAAGATGCAGCTTTCCAACACTCAGGTCTTCCCTCCCACCCTTGAGGGAAGGTTTTTCTCTCCCCACCAACAGCACATAAAGGTTACACACTGCTCTGCACACCTAATTGATGCATTCTGTTTGTTTTTCCCCTCTCCCAGTGAATTGTGCTCCCACAGCCACGTACTTCCTGTTGTCCTTCAGAGGCTGGTGGTCATAGAACCAGTCCAGCACAGGGGCATCCTCCTCTGGATCCAGCTCCAGCTGAATGGCTTCCAGAGGCTCCACATCCAGGATGTTATCAGCATAATCCAGAGGGGGTTCTTCATCATCAAAGGGGGGGAATCTCATCCTCTTGAAGTGACGCCTGTCCCTCTTCTCCCGCCTCATCATAATCCACATGGAGCTGCAGGAAATTGGGGCAAAGTTAAAACCAGGGGGATTTCATGGTGGGTGCAAAAAAGGTTTGGATGAAGCAGGAGGCACCTACCCCCACTGGGCAATGTAGACAGGCTCGATGACCCAGGGGATCTCGTTGACAAAGGAGATGGCGCCGGTGATGTGGTAGAGCACGGGGACGTCCCGGATCTGCTCCCAGGGCATGGGCATGTTCTCCAGGAGCTTCAGCACAGCATGGGGCATGTACTTCAGAGCCCTGCAGCCACAAAGCAAGGGAAACCACGCTGGAGTGCACCTCAGGGACAGCCAAGCACCTGCCACGAGCCCAGCAACCTCCCGGCTTTCCCTCCTGTGAGCTGCTCCACGGTCAAAAAACAATTCCATGAATCTCCCACTCTACCCTTGGACTATCACAAGGTTTTCTAGTGGTTTGGATTTCAGGAATGCTGCAAACAAAAACTGAAGTTTTTAAGTGAGTTTCTGGAGTTTTTATGGGTAATGGTAAGTTACTGCAGCAGACCATGGTGTGCACTAAACAGCTCTCTACACCCAAACAGCAGAGAAGCACTCAGGATGCTTTTTAATCTTTCAAAAACATTTCACACTCTCCCCAACTTCTTCTAAGACACTGTGTTATGTTTTTTCTCCTAAATCCAAAGCAACAATTCCCTTTGCTGATGCTCTTTTGCACTGATACCTCACAGCAGCAGACAGAGCCACACCTGACACCCAAAGCCCTTTGGGGAAGGGGCTTCCCCTCCAACGATGCGTTACCCAGGCTCAGGTTTTTTCTCATAAATTCAAAGCAACAGCTCCTTTTGCTAACCCTCCTCTGCACTGACACCTCAGGGCATCCTCAGCGAGCTACAACAGGCACGAAGAGCCCTTTGGAGAAGGATCTGTCCCTCCAACCATCACCAAGGCAGCAGCAGCGGCGGCGCATCCCCTGAGCTCCCCGCCGCACACCGGGATCCCTTACCCCAGGTAGACGCGCTTGTCGTGCCGGAACTTCCTATTGGTCATGTCGCCGTGGTCGCGGATGATTTTGCGGACGTGCTCGGGGGGCATGTCCTCCTTCTGCGCGTCCACGAAGCCGAATTTCCTCTTCTCCGCATAGCGCTTGGCCTGCAGCTGCTGCCACTTGCGGGCTGCGGGGACACAGAGCCGGCGGGTCAGGCCCTGTGCCCCCCGCAGCATCTGGGGTGCCGGGGCCGTACCCACCTTTCTCCTGCAGCTTCTCCTCGGACATGTAGTCGGGCAGCGGCGCCAGCGGGTTGGGCACCGGGGCGCAGCCGCCGCGGTACGGGAACACGGCGGCCATGGCGACGCAACTGCGGAGAGCGTGGAGAAGGGCTCAGGGTGAGGTACGGGATCACGACGAGGCCGCCGCCGGCCGCTTCCCCGTCACTCCCGCCTGCCGCGGGCCCGCCCCGGGCCCGCCGCTCCCCCTCGGCCCTCACCGACAGCCGCGGCCCCCGCGCTCCCCCACCACAATGGCGGCGCCGCGCCGCCGCTACCGCTCCTGCGAGACCCGGATGTAGGCGTGACTAGCAGCGCGGAATGCCCAATCAGCTTTCAGGAAGTCTGACAGACAGCAGAGCTATCCTATCAGAGTGTAGAGCTGCGGGGGCGGGACTGAAGGCGGAAAAGGGGAGGAAGTTGTGTCTGGGCGCACACTTCCGGTGTGGTGTCCCGCTTTCCCCGGTCCCGCCCTCCGCTGCTTCCCATTGGCGGAGAGGGGCGGCGGTGACAGCGCGGCGCCGCCTCTGATTGGGCGACGCCTGGCGCAGCTCATTCCTCGCTGCTGCAGGGGGCGCCACGGGCCGGGTCGCGCCCCCCCTCCCGAAGGGTGGTAGGGGCGGGGGGAGCCCTCAGGGAGACATTTTGGACATCCCGGACGCATCCCGGTGATGTCCCCGGGGGAGCAGCGCGGGGACATCCCCACGGGGGCTGCACATCCCCTCAGTGCGCTGAGCCCGTCTCAGCCAGCCCCCGTGGCCCGGGCAGGCAGGGGGCTGCTCACCCCCAGCACTGCCCCATGGCCGCGCTGCCATCCCCCAGCAAGGGGCCACTCACCTCGTTGCGCTCTTCCTGCCTCTCTCCAGGAGCGCCCCCCAACCCTCAGTGCTTGCCCAGCAGCTGTGAAAAGGTGAGGTCCAGCTCGCTGTGGGTGGGTTCAATGTGTTGTCAGGGCCGCTCAGCAGCCGGGCTGGCTCTTGCCTTAGGGTTTTGCCAGGGCGGGGGCTCCCATGGGAACAGGGCTTTGTTCTGGAGGGATATTGGATGGGGCTGGAGCGGGGGTGATTGGGTGGCAGGCCGGGGTGTTGCTCCCCAACAATTCGCTGATGGAGATGCTCCTTGAAACCCTGTGGTCCCCTATACGGTGGAAATAGAGAGGTGAGTCCTTCCAAAACGTTTCAAGCCAAGGCTGTGGCACTTCCTATGGGGATAGACAAGCACAGGGCATCCCCAGGTCTGCCCTCGGTGACCTGCAAAGCCCCTGCTTATCCCACCTTAGCCGTGTGGGAAAACCACGGCGGATTAAGAGGAGCCCAGAGCAGGCTGCCCTGGCCCCAGCCCCACGTGCCTGGGGTGCAGGACATCCACGTGACAGCAGGAATGTGGGGACACAATCCAGGCCTTGAGAAACACCCCGGGCGTGGGCAGAGGCAGCGCTTTTAGCAGATGCAGAGGCTGTGCCAAGGGCAAGGATCAGTGCAGCAGCTCCTGGAAAATTTGGAATTTTATGCAATACGTGGGTCAAACCAAAGAGAAAGCCCTGGGTGACAGTTCTGCTCCAGCTGGGGGCTGTGAGGGGCACACAGGCACCTCAGCACTGCCTGAGGTGACAAATCCAAACCTGGAGTATTGTGCCCAGCACCTGGAAGCTTCCCTGCTCTCCACAAATAGAAATGTAAGCAGCTTTGGCCAGGCATTGTCTCCAGCCTCACACTGCCCATGGATCACTCGTCTTTCCCTGCCCAGCAGGAATGTGTCCCCATCCTCAGAACACGTGCCACCCTCTCCGAGCAGTGCCTGCTCTTCAAACCAAGGGAGAGGTTTTGTGTTAAAGCTTATTTGTTACACAAAGGAAAGGTGACTGAGCCGTGGATTCCTCCAGACTGGTTCACGTAACTCCAAGTGGGATGATCCTGTTATATACACAGTGCTGGGCTGCTGGGGAGCAGTCCAGTGTGAGAATCAGTGAGGAAAAGGAAATGTGGAGTGGAAGAACATTTAAAAACCTTCATCTTCCTCCTCAGAAAGGACAGGGGTGGGACAAAAAACCCCAACAAGAGAGGTAGAGTGTGCCAGTGCACAGTGTATTTTCACTCCATGGCAGGGAGACATGGGGTAAGGACTGTGCCCAGCAGTGACACCCCCAGACTGGGCTGGCATGCTGAGTCCTTTTGTCCCCTCTCAGTCCTTTCCCCTCAAGCCACTTCATTTGCAGCCATTTATTAAAAGCTCGTGTTAGTAAGAGCCTTTGCTGCCGGGTGAGAGCGTTACCCCGGGCTCTGCAGCACCACCTGGCATTCCTAACAGATTCCTGAATCCTAAAAAGTGCCTGAAAACCCCTCATCTGTGGGAAGTGACCATCACACAGCATCCTCTCGCCAGCCACTCACGCTCTCCCACGCTCATTTATGGGCACTTAAATTATTCTGGGAGAAAACAACGTGGAAAAAGCTCCAGTTGTCAGGAGAGGTTGGGGCTGCCCCCGACCTGCACCCCACAGTGCCCACCCAGCCAGGTCTCAGCCTGGACAATCTCGGGGAGGCTCATCAGTGCAGGCTTTGGTTTTCACTGACATCTCCTGGAAGGCAAAGCCTTGGAGCCTGTCTTGCTGGTGGTGTTCTACAGAGATGCCACAGAGCACTCGGTGTCCCGTGGCTGATGGGACCCTGGGGGCTGCAGCAGCACAGGGGCTGGAAACACCCTGTGGTGTCGGGATGTCTGGAAGAGCAGTGGGGAAACAGTGCTGCCCTGCCCCCTTCTCATCTCAGTGGCGCCTCGGGGAGCTGTGAGAGCTGTCGAGGCTTCTCTCAGCACCTCCCAGCTGTCCAACCACATCATCCAAAAGTGTTTGGGGAGCAGAGCCACAGTGCCTGGTCCACGAGCACCTCTCTGCTGTGCAGGGCCCAGGATCTTGAGCCACAAGCAAAGCCTGGATGCTCCGTTAGTGCAGCCCCTCCTTTCAAGGTACCGAAAGAGCCACGTTCACCCTCCGGTGCTCCACGGGCTTGGAGCTGCCCCCGTCGCAGGGGAGGAGCTATTCCTCCTTCTCCCGCCGCTCCTCCTCCTCCCGCCGCTCCTCCTTCTCCCGCCTGGGTTTGAGGAAGTCGCTCCGCAGCAGGCGGTAGAAGAGGATGATGTTCATGGGCGTCATGATTGCCATGCCCACCGTGCCCACGGCGTAGGTGGCCGGGGGCACGTTCTGGCGATTGAGGAAGAGCCAGCGGGCCATCCAGGCCAGCGTGGCGATGCGGAACACCACGTAGGTGCCCAGGTTGACGAGGCTGTTGAGGCGGTAGCAGGTGGTGTGCACCAGGTTGGCCATGAGCAGGATCTGCCGCAGGTGCAGGAAGATGGAGTTGATCTCCACCAGTAAAGCCACGAGGGCAAAGCCGACGTACTGGTGGAGCAGCACGGCAATTCCAAAGCAGATGATCACCTGGGGAGGAGGGAGAAAGAGGGGCTCAGCCCAGGGGCTGGTCGCTCCCAGCTGCTGCAAGCTAGAACCCCTTGGGCACAGCAAGGAGTAGAGGTGGAAAGGATCATCACAGCAGTGCCATCCCTGCGGCGTTGCAGCCTCTGGCACCTCCTCACCATTGCATGAAACCTGAGTGGGTTTTTTTGTTCCAGTGGGAAGAGAAGGAAACAGCTCTTTGAGCCCCAGGTTGGCTGAGGAGACAAAGCAGTCTGACCTACCCTGCTGTTGTGGCCTGGAGAATGCAGCCAGTTGTGGCCCAGCAGGTTTTTCCACACCCAGTGAATGGACAGGAAGACTGTAGCCCAGGGCTACGGCTGCTGCTGGCTCAGGGATTGTCCCCAGGACAGGCACCCTGCAGGGATTAGGTGGCTTTGGTGTATCACAGAGCCCCCTGAAGCACCCCAGGCTGTTTGGGACAGGATTCCTGCCCCTCACCCTCCCTGCCAGGCAGGGGGACAGGCTCTGCCTGCCCACGCTTCAGCACACTCGGTCCTTTCTTTGCTTTATGCCATTAGTGCTGTTCTCTGTATGGGCTCTCTAATGAGATTATCTGCTCCGTTAAATCACTGTCTTGGCTTGAATTAGCTCTATTGTGCAGATGAACTTTTGGCTCACCAGCAGCAGCCAGCAGAGCCCCAGGGCTCACTGACAGAGCAGGTCTGACTACCCCTCTCATCCCAGGTGAGTCCAGCACTGTCCCTGTCCCCCTCCCCAGGCCCTGCACACCCCTGAGCCTCCCCTGAACCCTGCAGCGTCTCCACTGCCCAGCTCCAGGCTGTGCCACCCCCTGCCCTGCAGCACCCACAGTCTCAGCATCACAGAATTGTTTGGGTTGGGAAAAACACTCTGGCACCTGGACAGCAGAGGTGATCAGAGAGAAACCCACACAGGGCACAGCAAGACAGGCAGAGGGCACTGGAGTGGGGGTCCTGCAGCACAGCTGCTCCAGCCACACCAGCCCAGGTGGGTGAAAGCACCCCGGGGAGGGGAGGGGGATGGAGGGGATGTGCAGCCCTTGCTGGCAGGTGCTCAGGAGGGCAAGAGCCACAGGAGGTGAGCTGCTCACCTGTGCCAGAGGGGACACCGGGGTCACTGCTGCCAGTGACACTTGTGGATCAGCCCATACTCTGTACACATGTTTTTTCCTACCCTATTGGGACACACAAGACAGGTGATGGACTTTGGACGTGATTAGCATAAGATATTTGATAATCAGGATGCCTTGGCAAGAACAAACAGAGCTGAAAATTAAATCGGACTGAAAAGAAAATGACATCAAATTCTGCAAGCAAGAGATGTTGTAAAATGTGTAAGTTTGTTTATGTGATGATGAACCCAATCACTGTAGTAAAAACTTACTAGCCTTTCAAGAATAGTATATAAGCATATGTAGTTCACAATAAATTTGGATTCTGACCAGCTCTCAGTCTCATCATCACCAATACCACCCCATTTTTAGGTGCCTTTCTGGACACCTTCTAAGAGTACAGATTCTGCAGGACCAAGAGGAGCTCCAGGCCCTGCTGTCTGGGCTCCTCTCCCCAGGAAATAAAATCAGACTTTGTAGCAGGCAGCAAACCCCCTCACAAACAGCAGGAGCCCCCATCCCCAGGCTCCCTGGTGGTACCTGTGCCAGTGCACTCACCACAGAGTGATGAAAGAGCAGCTCCCAGGACTGATGAAGTTTCTGATTGCACAACATGTCCACAAAGTCTTCAATGAAATAGCCTGGGATTGGGGAGGCCATGAACAACAAGGGGGTCAGGAAGGGCTGTGCCAACAAATCCCCCCTGCCCCAGTGGGCTCTGCACCTGAGTGGGCCGGGCAGCCCCCCGGGAAGTGCTGGTTACATCTGTGTGCTGGGGAGCCACACACAGCAAAAGGAAACTGGGGTGCTTTGTGTCCTTCTTGCACTCACTGTAGGATGTGCTCCCAGGAAGAGGCACCGACTGACTCCTCCAACCCCATGTGGGCACTTTTGGGATGCCCCGAGCCCCGGCTCCCTCCGAGGGCAGCCCGGTGCCCAGTACCTCCTGGCTGCGGCTGCCGTGGGACAGAAAGGAGCCACTGTCCTTTGCCAAGAATAGGGCGATTGTTTGAGGTGCCTGAGACATCGCGACATGGCTCGAGGGGCTGGTGTCAGGCACCGCCGAGCCCGTGAAGACCCCCGGGGGACGGAACAGGGGACAGGCCATCGCCACACCTCACCTACAGACACGGCCACCAGGCTGTGCGCCCCGGGCGGGTGTGTGCCCACCAGGTCGTTGGACATCTCGGGGTGGAGGTAGAACCTGACGGGAGAGAGGCTGTGAGTGTCGGGCAGTGCCTCCGGTTCCCCATTCCCCTGCCGGTGTCCTCAGTACCCACCTGGTGCTGCCGACCCTCCCCGGAGACCTGTTGCACCCACAGCCACCCCTCTCCTCCTGTTTTCCCTGGAGTCTCCCCATTCCTGGTCCTTCGGTCCTTCCTCCCTCTCTCAGTGCCCTCATTCTGCAGCTCCTCACACTCCCCAGGGTCCCCAACACCCCCATCTCCTTTAGCACCCCGTGGCCGCAGGTCCCCGTCGGGCTCCCTCGACGTCCCCATTCCCTCCCAGAGTCCCGGTCCCGCCGGGCAGCCCGGTGTCCCCGCGGGGCCCCGCGGTGCCGCTCACCCGGCCAGCGCCCCGCCGCCGCTGAGCACGCTGTGCGCCAGCGATGTCCAGATGTTGCGCCACTTCCAGCGGTTGCGCCGGGCCGAGGGCGGCGGCGGCACCAGCCGCTCCAGCCCCCGGTTCAGCAGGCGGAAAGCGGCGAAGGAACCGGCCACCACCAGCAGCCCCGGGCTGAAAGCCATGGGCGTCCACCGGCCCGCCGGGCTCCCATGGGACCGGTCTCGCTGCCTGCCGGGCTCCGCCTCGCCCAGCCCCGGGGCCCGCCCTGGGCACCGGCACCGCCCCGCCGGTACCGCCCTGCCCGGCCGCTACGCGCATCGCCCGGGCGGGGCACAGCCGGCATCACCCCGGGGGAAGGGCCGGGACTGCCCCGGGGCTGGCGCTGGCAGCTCCCGCATCCTCCCGCGCAGGGCAGCGCTCCCCGTCGGGCCGTGGGAAGCGGGGAGCGGGAGAATGGGAGCTGAGCCCCCGGGATGTACCCGCCTTCCCCGGCACCGCACGGCAGAAGCGGCGACAGCCCGGAGCGGGCTGAGAGCGTGGCACGGAGCGGGGGACGCGTGTCCCGTCGCTGTGCGGGAACTGGGGGCGCTTCCCTCGTCCCCCGAAGTCTCCTCTTCCACCTTGGTGGCATCTGGTGGCCGAACGCCTCTCCCGTGAGGTGCTGCGGCCGGTGGTCCTTCACCCCAAAGCCTGCCCGGCAGGTGATGCCCGGCACTGTTTCCTTGGGCAGGGACTTCTCCAAGCCGCTCACCCCGGGTCAGGACCCCCCGACCACACCACAGCACCGGGGCTGATCGCACATCAAGCACGGAAAAAGACCTGATTGCTTTGCCTAAAACTGCTCTGCCCACAGCACTGTTATCCCGCATCCCCCTGTCCCATGTCTGGTCCCGACAGGAGCTCCCCCATGTCTGGGATACCCCAGCTCCTCTGTCTGGAGGTTGTGGAAAGTCACAATCCCGTAGCCACAATTTTAGTTCTACCGTACAACTACGCTGCTTTTCCAGCTTCCCGTAATTTGATCGCTCCCTTGTTGCCTTTTGATGTCTCCAGCAGAAGCTGCTGCACAGCCCTCGCTTCCCCTTCTGCCGCCGGGCTGAGTCACCGTGTACACACCGATTAATGTCAAACTCCACCTCTGCTTTGAGGTATTAATTTTGGATGAAATCTTCCACTTCCTCTTGGCTGAAACAGAAGCGTGTGGAGCCTGAGCTCTTAGTTGCTGTCCTGGCTTTGGGGTGATGGACACAAAAACATCAAACACACACTGATGAAAGGGAGGCTGAGTGATTAAATCAAATTGGGAGGCGGGTGAGGTTCTTTTCCAACCTAAACGATTCTGTGTTTCTGTGATGGTCCCAACTGGTAGAAAGGCATCTGTTCATGCTGCACAAATTTGCTTAAAAGCCAGGCAAGACAATGTACTTTCATAACAGTTACGTGGCAGGGAGACAGTGCCTGAAGTAATAGGCAGCCCTGAGTGCTCAGGGGATTTTAAATAATCTCGTGTATTAGGAGTGCAAGGATCACACGGGCTAATCTGTTACTGAGAAGACCAAATGCAAAGACATTTTTGTTCAGCATAAGATGTGCTGAGGAAAGAGAGACATGCCTTGGAGACGTGCTGGGCTGCTCAGGGCACTGAGGAGAAAAAATCATTTAACAATTAATTGAGTATAAAATTGCACAGAGCCGGTTTCCGAATGAGAAGTCGTCTGCGGTGGTTTAGCCTCAAAAAAATCTTGACTGCCCTTTTCCCTGGTGACAACTCATCCCTTCACCTTCCTGCAGAGAATATCCCAGACTGTGTAATGCCTGCAGGTCCAGCCCTGTTTCCCCAGGGGCTCCTCCATTTGTGTTTATCCTAAAGATGAACATTCAGGGCTCGGGGACAGGAATAGTTAAAATATTTCTGGAGGCTGGAGAGCTTTTACCTACCACTTCTGCATGGGAGGAATTTAAGCCGTGATTAATTGAGCCTCTGGTTCAAGGACTTTGATCCCATTGCTAGAGCACTACCAACAGTTACATATAAACTGCTTTTTGTGTCATTTTAGCCCAGATTTTATTTAATTTTACTTCCCATTGAGCCGTAGTTTCTTAGAACCCCGGTTCCAGCCTTTTTCTTCCTCTGCAGCAATGGCATTAACCGGGGGCGGTTTTGGAACTGCAGACATCCAAGCCCAGTTACAAACAAGTCCCCTGACACCAGATCAGGCCAAAAATTCAACCACACGCCACAGGCTCGGGGGCCAGGCTTGTCCCAAAAGAACCCGAAGGGAAGAGCAGGGACGGGAACTCCCGGGCGCAGCTGCCACAAGAGGTCCCTGCACGCCCGCTGGAGAGCCGGGAGCCGATCCGATGGCATTCCTCATTCCCACCTTATTTGGAGATACTGCCTTTTTCACCCAGATTTCCAGAAGTTTTCCGACTGTCCCCAAACGACCTGATTTTCTGCGGGGGTGCAGCTCAGGCCGGTGCCGGGCGGCTGCCGGTGCCTGCTCCCTGCGGGGCTGGGGGCTCCTGGCAGACACAGCAAGGACGTGCCCAGGTCATCCCATCATCCACGGCTCCACAGCTAATCCCATAGTGGGGGCTTCCCAGCAGCAATCGGGGTGTAAATCGAGGGTACAGAATTTAATTCAACAGCTAGACAATCTTTTTTGTCTCCCTTTCCCAGGCTGGGGTTTCTCTGCTGAGAGATACAACCCATTTTCCACAGTGAAAAACTGGCAGTTTAGTGATAATCCACCACAGGAATTCTGCCGGCTGAGCTCTACCCCTCCAGATGCTCCCCAACTGCTCCTGGGTGGCGTTTTGGGGTGTGCTTTTGCACTTCCACCATCCCTTACTTAAGGAGGAGCCCACTCTTCTCCAGATTCCACGGAGGACTCGCTGGAGCCAACAGATGTGGGAGCCAGGCACAAGTCATGCTCCTTCTTGCAGAGCTTCCCTCCCTTAATCTGCCTCTCTGCATCCAGGGAGTCACAAAACCCATCTGCTCACCTAATGCCAGACCTGGCTCACACCTGGAGTAATCTGAGGAGTCCAAGAGCTCAAAACAAATCAAGCAGTTTGGCTTCCAAACTTTAATTAGCTGTTGTCTCCATCCCTCTCTAAACTGTGTCACCACTCTGTCTGCTTAGGCCATAAGAAGTCAGATGATGTAGGAATGCTTTATATATCCACATCTCCATCCAGGGAGTCTGGAACTCCACACTTCTGAAAGGATCTACTGTGAAAAATGCAGGTTCTGCATGGCAAAGCATTGCAGAGGCAGCTGTGGAGAGAGCTGAAATCAATTCAAACTGGAGCAGCCACCCCTTCCAGCCAGGAACACCTTCCTGATGTGGAAGCTGGATATTCTCCAGGTAGAACTTGCTGTGGACATGGAAGAAAGGGATTTCAGTCTCTGTGAGTGTGGTGAGCAGCTCCAGAATTTAAGGCAAGAAATGCAAAGTGTCAAAAGTCAGCACTTTAGCCCTGACCTCAGGACTTGAACTCATCTGGCAGAGGAAATCACCTGTGCTTGCACCACAGCCTGCCCCAGGCAAATCTGGGTTTACCCTGCCCAGGGCTGCAAGATCTCACTCCTGAGGGAAGGGCTTTCCTTGCACCCACAGGGTTTGAGCAGCACTGCGGGTGTTCTGCTGCCAGGCTGCTCATCCTTCCTGAGGTCATCCCTGGAATGCAATGTCTCCTGGGAGCTTCACAGGACCAGCACCTTCTGGTGCCAGATACCAGCAGCAAAATGGGCACAGCAGCTGCCTTCTGCAGCCTGGCATGTGGGAATATTCCCAAACCACCCAGGCAGAGCCTGCTTTGATAAATGACCCCAGGGCAGGTTGATCTGGACGCTCTTCTTCTTCTGGCTTTCCTTTTTCCCAGAGCTGGAAAGATTTTTTTTCCCCTCAGGACTTGGCACAAGGGGCTTGTTGGAGAAACCTGTGTTGCCAGCAGAGTGTCCCTAAGGATGCTGCAGGCTCAGCTCTCTCCAGGGCTGTGCTGGACCAGCTGTCAAGGACCAGTGGCACAGAGGATGTGCTCTCTCCTCACTCCAGCTGCACAGGTATGCCATGGGATGAACAAAATTCCATTGGCTTCCAAATCCCCTTCAAGTTCAGCAGCATGGGCAGCTCTGCTCTGCTTTCTGCAGCTGCCATGCCCCAAACGTTTTGACTTTCTGAACTGTTTTTGTGCTGTTATTAGTCAGGTTACAGGTTCCTTCTTTCCTTCCCCAGTGCTCACTGTGAAGTGGTGCCAGGTGTCTGCCAGGCCTGTATCCCATCCCTCACCATCACCAGACATGAATGCTTAGGAAGAAAATGTGAAACATCACATATAATTATTCTTACCCTGTAAGCAAATTCATTCCCACTAAATATTTCCTTTTCCCTGTCTTCTTCCCTTGTGGGATAAACAATTTTTCCCCTGTTTAATTCACCAGTCTCAAGCTTAAGTAATTTTTGATGAATATGTATGTGCTTCATGATTACATCATGATGCATTTACCACTATTTTTTTTTTTTTTTTTCATTTCAGACAGGTTAGGAATGAATCCTCCAAGGTGGAAGCACATCCCAACCCCCACACCCAGCTCAGCATCACACCCTCCGAGCCCACTCAATCCCTCCTGTTTTACAAATACCAGCACAGGAGCTTCCCCCCTGCATCTTCTGCTGCTGCTGGCTCCACAGCTTGGAGCAGGTTAGGTTCCCTCCTGAATTCTCTCGTTATTAATATCACAAACCAAGCTGTTCTGAGAGCAGTGCCCCATTAATCACTCCGGCTCTGCTGCAGGTTTCACCTCGCTTCCTCTTCCTGCAGCTGAGCAGTTTGACTCTGTGGGTGCTGCTTGTTAAAATCAGTGGGTCTGGTTGAGCAGGGAAGGACACTGAGCTGGGTGAGCTGGCAAAAAGGTGGGAAAAAGATGAATCCACACAGCCATGGCACGAAAAAATGTGCTACTCCAGCTGGTGGTGGTGAGAGCTTGAAGGCAGGAAAGTTACACCCCTTAAATGCTTGCCTCTATACTCGGGTTTTCTGGAGGGCCAGCAGCACTGGGGAGGCACAGCAGAAGTGAAGGTGTCTAACAAAACCCAAGGTCGGCTCAGCAGCTCGTGTGAGTCAGCACCAACGTGGGTGGCAGATCTGCTCTGTCTGATGCCTGCCTGGGCTCTCCTTGTGGTTGAGGGCACCACTTCCTTGTCCTCTCTTCCTTCCTATGTTTAATCCTGACTTGTGCTACAAGCAAAGGTCTAAAACCTTCTGAGTAACCACCTGTGGTTTACCTGAAAAGGGCCAGAAGATGTTTACAGAGCATCTTCCTGAAAATCTGCCTCCAATCCCATCCCAGTCCCTCGAGGGCATATTGTGCATTCCTGACACACACTAACACCCCTGCAGCCAGCCCCCAGCTTCTCCCTGACACCCAAAGCCCTTTTCCACCTTGTATCCTTTGTCTACCACCTTTTTAATATCCATTCTGTCATCTTTGCCTCTGTGAGGGGTTTTGTTTTGCCCTTTCCAAAAGCCTTTCCTGGGCGCTCGGCTGCATCCAGCAGCCCCCAGCAGCCCAACCTGCTGCTCAGCCCTGCAGTGCAAACATCCCTGCACAGGACCAAGCTCCACCTGCCTCATCCCAAAGCTGCACACCTCTGTGCCTGCCCCTTTGCCCGTTCACTGCAGATTTCCATCCCTGAGCAGACGTTTTTCCAGCGATTTCTGCTGAGTCAGAGAAGGCTCGGCGAGGGCTGCTGCTGCTCCACGTGGGAACGCGCTTCTGGGGAATAATTACACAGAGTTTAAATACGGACATTTGGCAGACAAATTGCTTCACATTCAGGCTCCTGGCCAGGAGGGCAGAGCCCAGAAGCTGCTCACTGGTGCTGTGAGAAAATCCCTCATTCCTGTGGCCATGGTGGGTGTGCAGAGCCCGTGGGCCAGGATTGCCGGGACCCTGCTCACGGCTCGGAGGGTCCCATGGATTGAACTGCTTCCCAAATCATCCATCCTGCACTGCTCCAGCATCCTGCACCTGCCTTCTTCTCCGGGTGATACCCACCAGAGGATTTTTATCCCCCCTGCTGCAGGATTTGGGAACGTGCTGCTGGCAGGGAGCTGATCCCTGCGGATCTCCTGTTCTGCAAGGGAGATGATGGAAGCACGCTGCTGGTAACTTTTCCCCCCTTAATTTTTGAGGCATATTTTAAGTTGTGAAACATACTGACTGTGAAATAGAGATAAGAACAAGAGGAGACACAAACAGTGTAGGTGTTACTCCCAGTTTTTTGCAACTCCCACTTTGTTGTAAAAATAGCCCAGCAAGCAGCACCCTGCTCCCAGCCATCCTTCACGGACCTGGGGATGATGGGATGGTGTGCCTGGACATCAGAAGCAGAGCTGGGATGTAAGGCACATGCAGAGTTGCTGGAAACTTCACAGTCCTTAAAACTAATGGAGAAAAATCCTACAAAAAAAATCAAATTAAAGAATTTTAAGTGTTGTGAAAATACATAACAAGTAGCAATATCATTCCAAAGTGCTGCAAAAATACCTTGTGTTGTTGAGCTGGAGTGCTTTCCACCAGGAAAAGGGGCAGTGGGAAGGAACCATGGGATATCACTGAACCCCCCTTGAGTTTCTGGTCACACTGCCCATGACACACCCCATCTTTACACCACACCTGTGCCATAATTCCTATGTGCCCTCAATTCTTTTGCAATTCTAAACCCCAGCAAAATACCTTTAATTAGGCCCAGGCCAGTTGCAGAAATCAGATAACACTGCCTGGCTGGCTCTGCTTCCAGGAGCTGCATCTCCTGAGGGATGGGAGCGTTGTGCAACTCAGGGAGAGCATCACCAGCCGTGGGCTGGCAGCTGTGCTGAGACACCAGGGTGTCACCTCACAGGAGAAAGTCGCAGGCAGCAGCAGTGGTGGCTCTCTGAGCTGGGGGACAGGTTCCTGACCCCCCCTGGCAGGACCAGGTGAGTACCCAGCCGTGCTTCTCCCAAAGAACCTGGGACTGGGGGAGCGGTGCAGGGGGGGTTTGCAGGAGAAAGTCACCACCCTGCACCAAAACCTGCCTTTGATGACCTTCCCCTGCTCCATTTCTTGCTTTTTTCCCTCCAAAACAGAGAGGGAGATTTCTAATCAGCCTGTCAGTGACTGCTGAGGCACAGAGAGCACTAAGGACCAAGGGAGTTGGCTGTTTTCTAGCCCAGGAGGTATTTTGGGCAGGGATTAGTTCTTTCATGGCAATTACCATGAGTAACATCTCTGCAAAATTGTTGGAGAGGCTTTGGAGAGGCTGAAGCATCTCTTTAGACCCAATTTGAGGGAGACATGGGCTATGGCAGCAGCAGCTCCCCATAAATAATTGCATTTGTTTACGAGAGCCATTATCACATCTGCTCACTCCCCCTGCGCTGCAGCTGAGTTTAATGAGACACGGGGCTGGAAATGAGAAGTGTGTTAATTCAGAGGAGAAAAGGGCAGAGGAATGGGTGTTGGGGTTGGACAGAAAGTTAAAAAAGAGGTGTTTTCCACCAGCTGAAGGTCATTTTGGTGCTTCATCAGAAATCTGGGGCCCTTTGGGTGCCTGCCAGTGGCCAGCTCCCAGCAGCATGGACAGCGGTGACACCATCACCGAGGAGGTCTGCAGGGAGGACGATGTTGGGGATGGACAGTGAGTGCCTGGTGGGGTTTAGGTGGGGATTTGGGTGGGGTTTAGGTGCTTCTGTGCCCACCTCTGCACCTCTCCCCCAGGCTCCTGGAGGTGACGGTGGCCGGGTGCCCAGTGCTGCTGGTGAGGAACAGGAGGGAATTCCGAGCTCTCAGCAGCAAATGTCCCCACTACGGTGCCCCGCTGAGCAAAGGTAAGCCCAGCTTGGGGCAGGGGGACAGAACCACCTTGGGGAGGGTGGTTCTGACTGCCCAGCCCGGGGGGTCTCTTGCAGGGGTGTTGAGAGGGGAGAGGCTGCGCTGCCCCTGGCATGGGGCCTGCTTTAACATCAGGACTGGAGACATTGAGGAATACCCTGCTCTGGACTGTCTCTCCTGTTTTAAGGTGACTCCTTGCCCTCCCAGCTGGGTGGTCTCACATTGATTCTCTCTCTCAAGCCCCCTGCCCTGACCACAGCTCTGTCACTCAGAGCTTCAACACAAGGGATGATTTTGGGATTATGTAACTCCCTGCCCTAAAGCTCCTTTCAGTCAAAGGTGATGCCACAGATCCTAGTAGTCCTCAGAGCCAGCACAAGTGCTTTTGGAAAGAAAAAGAGGATTTACAGCTCTTCCTCAGTGCTCTTAGGATGAGGAGAAAAGCTCATGAGCTCCTCAGCATCATGTGACATCCAAGATCAGAGGCAGAGGCAGATGGCACACTGGACCAGGATCTCCCAGGAGAGCTCCTACCACGACCTCATGGATGCAGCACTTAAAAAACCTCTCCTTTCCCTCCTTCAGGTAACAGTGGAAGATGGAAAGGTGTTCATTACAGCAAAAAAGAAGGTACTGACCTTACCTGCTGTCACTGAGCACAGGCAGTGCCTTGGGCTGAGTGTGACTTGAGCATTTTGCTTTTTTTTTTTTGTTTTTGCAGGACCTGGAAAGCAGCCTGAGGGTGAAGGACACAAGCAGGAGGTGCCTCCTCAACAAGAACACGATGCTGCTGCTGGGGGGAGGTCAGCGAAGGGACGTGAGCCCTGCTCCCTCCACACACACTGGAGCTGCCTCTCTCCTCTCCAGGGAGGGCTGACCTGCTCCTCCTCCTCCTCCTCCTCAGTGAGGTGTCAGGAGGCTGAGATGAGATCTCTTGCAGGTGTGGCTGCCCTGGTGTGTGCAGAGACGCTTCGCCAGGAGGGGTTCACTGGCAGGATCATCCTGGCCACCAACGAGAAACACGTTCCCTACGACAAGTCCAAGCTGAGCAAGGTCTGTGTGTGACAAGGGCAGGGCTGTGCCTGGCACCACGTGTGGCACAGGCCACACTCAGGGCCAGGAGCAATGGAGGGAGCAAAGCAGGAGTGCTGAGGCATCCAGAAGCAATAGGGGTATCATTTCCAGGAAAACTTGTTTTTCCTCCTAGAAAATACCTGATCAGAGTCAACATGAGCTGATGTTTTTATCTCCTTTTGTTGAGCTTTTCCCACGGAAGTTTGATGGTTTTTCTGAGGAGGGCACAAGGTGATGGGGATGGGGCAGTGTGGGGAGCTGTGATTCACCAGTGTAAAATTCACATCTTTTCCAAACTGACTCCACAAGGAACACTTCAGGAGAATTGCTGCCTCTAAGAAATGCCTCATTTCACATTTTTTGTTGTGTTTCCAGGAAATGAACTTGAAAGCTGAGGATGTCTACCTAAGGAAACCTGAATTCCTCGAGGCTCGGGGCATAGAGTTCTGGACAGAGAAAGAGGTACCAGAGCAGCTGAGCTCAGCCCTCAGTGGGGAGGGTGTAACACCGACCTGTGCATCCAGGGATGGACCTGTGGGAAGTGGGAGAGAGGATCCCAGCTCCCCTCATCTCCCCTGAGCGCCCAGCAGCAGAGGAAGCCGTCTGATGCGTGCCCCCTCCTCCTGCAGGCAGTGTCAGTGGATTTCCAGGAGCAGAAGGTTCATTTCATGGATGGGTCCTCTCAGGAGTACCACCAGCTGCTGATTGCAACAGGCAGCCAGTGAGTGCACAAAGCGTTTGCCACACACAGGGCTTTAGGCAGGACAGCACTGGGATGTGGAGGTGGGGGCAGGAGATGAGATGGAAGGGCAGAAAGGAATGACACAGAGGTGTTTGTGGGTTTGTGCTCCCTTCTCATTCTTTCTGTTTTGTTCATACCATGAAATGCACCTGGAGTCTCTCTCTTCCAGCTCTGGTGTCCTCAAAGTGCCAGGTGCAGACCTGCAGAACATATGCACACTCCAAACCCCTGAAGAGTCCAGCAAGATCTTGGAGCTGGCAACTGGGAAGAATCTGGTGGTTGTAGGAGCTTCATTCATAGGTACCAGGCTGGAGTGGGTGTCAAACCCCCAGTGGGAGCCTCCAAAGCCCTTCTCTTGTGAGTGCACATTAACTGCAGGCCCTCAGGGAAGGGATGTTCCTTTCCTACCCGGCTGGGATCCTCCCTGGAGCTGCTGGGGGTGTGTGTTACACAGCACACACTCATTCTTTCCTCTGATAGCCAGAAACTTGGAGAGCTGTAAACAATTGCTACACATGGACAGAGGGAAATGTGCCTTCTGAAAAGGTCACTGTCCTCCAGAGGAGCTGGATTCCCCAGAAGCATTGGGAAAGCAAGGGGCTAAGGCACAGAAAGGGAGTTTTTTGGACATAACTAGGAGCTATTCTTTGCATCCCCTAACATCCAGGAGAACAAAGGATGGGGAGAGCTAAATACCTGAGCCCAGAAATGCATAGCAAAGCAGTTCAGCACTGGCAGCACATCAGATCTGCTCTCTGCAAGGGGAGAAGGTTTCCAAGGGTGCAGGTTGATGCTTGCAGCAGCCTTACCTCGGGCATGCCTCTTCCTTGCAGGAATGGAGGTGGCTGCCTTCCTCTCAGACAAGGCTGGAAGCATCTCAGTGGTGGAAAGAGAGGAGTTCCCTTTCCAGCACGCCCTGGGTCCTCAGGTTGGAGGTGTTGCCATGAAGGTGAGCAGAACCTGGGGTTGATTTCCAGCGTGGAGAACACATGATATCCAAGCAGCCCCGGGATCCACATCAGCCCAGGAAACCTCGCCCCTGTGCTGAGTCATGACTCTGCATGCCCAGCCTCTGCCCTCACCCACGAGCTCTGCACACACGGCTGGTCCCAGTCTTCCCCCCACAACATCAATGCTTCACCCCAAAGCCACCTCACACACCAGTCCTGACCAGCACTGCAGAGAAAAGCCAGGCTTTGTGTCCCTGCAGCAGCCAGGGACACAGATGGAATCTCCCTGCAGCCTGGAGCAGCAGCAGAGCTGCCTGCCTGGCTTTTGGCTGGCTACAGCTGTTTTTATAGCCTGGAATTTCCTAGTGAATACTCAAACCAGTCCTTTTCAGATGCTGCAAAATAAAGGGGTGAAGTTCCACATGAAAACAGAACTGTGTGAGCTGAAAGGAAAGGATGGAAAGGTCAGTCATGCCTTTGTGATCCCTGAACTGCTAATTTTAGGGGAAAAAAGCCCAAGTTGAGCTATAACCCAGTGCCTGCACCAGGCTTTCCTCTCCCATGTCTGGACCCTCCCTTCCTTTTCACTGAGCACAGCTCTGGGCTCAAAGGGCACCACTAAATGTTCCTCTCCTAGGGACAACAGCGTGATTTTCTTTTACATTCCCAGCAACACACATTAGTTGGACAAGGTGATCCAAACCTGGGGAAGAAAAAAAGACAGCAAAGAGCAAAGCAGCAGGGAGGCTGTGGGAATTAGGACAGAGGTTTTAACTCTTTATTGAGGACCTTTCCTTCTCTCCTAGGTCACAGAGGCTGTCCTTGCCAACGGAAAGAAGCTCCCTGCAGATGTGGTGGTGGTGGGAATAGGTAAGAGACCCCAGCTGGGACAGGGAGGCAGATTTGGGAATGGGGAGAACATCCAGCAAGCCCAGGGCACAACAGCTCACTTCCAGGATGCCATTCCCTGCTGTTATCTTTCCCACTCTGCTCTCATCCAGCCCTTCCCCTTGGCCCCAAGCCCCTGGAGAGGTCAGCAGCCCATGAGCACACACGGGCAGGAGGAGAGGAGCTGCTGGCACTCTCGCTGTGCCTTTGGCTCCTGCTGAGCTCCACAGGTCCCTGCTGTGTCCTGGGCCCCGGCGTGGCTGCCCCTGCCCTGGCTCAGCCCCAGCCCAGGCACAGGTCACTGCTCCAAGCAGGAGCAGGAACTGTGAGGCCAAATTTCCTCCCTGTCCCTGCAGAGCTTCTCTGCAGCTCGTCCCTGCTGCTCTCCCCTCAGGGTCCACCCCCAACTCGGCATTTCTGAAGGGCACCTCCCTTGCCAGGGATGACAAAGGTGCCATCCTGGTCGATCTGGTGAGTGCCAGCTGAGCATCCCGGCTCACACCCCATCCCTTCCCTCCAATCACTGCACTAATTGCCTTTTGCTCGTTAGCACATGCAAACCAACATCCCCAAGGTCTTCGCTGCGGGGGACGTGGTCACCTTCCCAGTGGCTCTGCTGGGTGGGGACAGGTCCAGCATCCAGCACCAACAAGTGGCTGAGGCCCATGGTGAGGGACACGTCACCTCAGGGAGGGGAACGGCACAGCAGGGACAGCAGGAGACACGGGGAAGCAATTGTTAAGGAGCTGCAGGAGGAATATTCAGTGTGTTGGCTCCTGCCAGGTCACTGTGCTGCTCTGAACATGCTGAGGAGAGGGGAGGAGCTGCACACTGTTCCTTACTTCTGGACCACAATGCTTGGGAAAAGCATCCGCTACGCAGGTAGGGAGGGCAGGGAGGGGAGAGAGGAATTCCCTCCACCAGCAGGGTCTGGGGCTGTAAACACACCTGGCTGCAGAGGTCACCTGAAGCAGCTCAGGCTCTGGACTGCCTGCCATGGTGAGTTTGAGCCCTGGGGCTGGAGTTCACCCAGAGCTCTGCTTCCTTGCTGATCTACAGTGGGTTAGAGGTCACAGAGGAAGAACTTCCCTCTCCAGACCAAGGAGAGGCTCAAAGTCAGTTCTGCTTCTCAGTGCAGGGCCTTGATGTCTGCTCCCCAGCCCCGTCCCCGCCCCAGGCACTGTCCCCTCTGTCCCCAGCACTGGCTCTGAGGTGGGATGGTGCAAGTTGCTGTGCCAGGGCTCCTGAGCAGGCTCTGTCCCACAGGCTGTGGGAAGGGATACACAGACACTGTTGTGAAGGGCAGCCTGGAGCAACAGAAATTCCTGATCTTTTACATCAGGTGAGTGAATCCATGGCCAGCCCTGGGAACAGGGCACAGCCCTCTGTCTTACAGCTGCAGGGATCCCACAGAGGCTCCACATCCCCTGGCTGGGCACTAAAGGCAGCTGCTGGGTGCTGAACCAGAGAAAACCAAAGCAGGGCAGGGAAGGAGGAGAGAATGAACTCAAACGATGACACCAGCTGGGCAGAGAGCCTGGGACACATCTCTGCCTCTGCCCCACTGCTGCCAGGCTCAGTGCCCAGCTCCCAGCAGTGCCAAGCAATCTGCCACGAGTCCCTGTGCACCCTGCAGCAGCAGCCACCCTGCCCTGAGCCCTCTGGAGCACAGCTGCTCCCTGGCCACTGTGCCACGGGGACGCTGCTGTGCTGAGCTCTGTACACTGAGGAGACCCACACTCTTCCTCTTTCTGTGCCAGGGATGGCTGTGTGACTGCAGCTGCCAGCCTGAACTGTGACCCCATGGTGTCTCTGATTGCAGAAGTTTTGTACTTGGGGAAACAAATCTCCAAAGAAGAAGCAGAGTAAGTGACATCCTGGCCAAGCTGTGGGTGGCTCTGTGCTGTTCCCCATGTCAGCAGAGCCCACTGAGAGACACAAAACCAAAAGGAGTCCCTGCAAATCCCCAACCCACCTCTTGTTTTCAGGGCCTGCGACATCGGCAACATCCCCTCGCTGGCACAAAGCTGAGTGTGGTGCGTGCCCCTTGCCAGGGGCTCAAAACCAAGTGTCAACAGCTCCACATCCTCCCAGCCTGGAGCAATAAAACCATCAGCAAAGCTGAACCCAGCACCTGCATTCTGTGTTTGCAGACAGCCCTTGGCTGTCCACTTGTGCTGGGCAAAGCTCAGCAGAGCTGGTGTTCTGTGTGCTGGCTGAGAGGAGGATGCCCATGGCCTGGGGCTCAGCTGAGGCTCTGAGCTGCCAGCAGCCACCACACAGGCACAGATGCAGCAGCCAGAGACACAGCAGCTCCTCCTGCTCCTTCCCTGTCGGCAGGGAGCTCTCATTTAGCACACCGGTCACGCTGACCTTCCCCTTTGCAAAAACACATTTTCCCAGCAAGGGGAGCTGTGACTGAGACAAGCTGCTCTCCCAGCAGGGAACGAGGTGGGCTGTGTGCAGGAACTTGCACAGGATACCCTGCCCCTAAGGACAGAGGGATGCCACCCAGCCCCTGAACCAGCAGCACCTGCTGGCAGTGTCACTGCTGTCTGCAATGTCACACCAGCCGCTGCACAAGCGGCCAGCCTCTGGCAGAGAAATCCCAGATCCAGCCCTTCCTGCTGTGTCCCTGCGTGCTGGATGCTTGGAGGAGGTGGCCAGATGCTAGAGGAAAGAGTTAGTGGATTTTTTGCATAGCAAGGCTGTGCTTTCTACAGGAAACCTTGCACTTACTCACCAGTCACATGGGGCTGTGCAGGAGGAAGGGTCAGTCCCAGGAGCTGGGCAAGTTCCCACAGGAACACTGAGTGAGAGCCCAAAGCCCCCCTGGTTTGGCATGAAGTGCAGGAGCAGCTGAGACACTGCAGTGCTGCTTTTGTGATAAACACCCAAACCTGTCCTCTGGCACCTCACGCGTGAATTTCACCTGAAATACAATGTTTTACATTTCCTGACATCACAGGTTTAGTGCTTCTGCTCTGCAGGAGCCACATTACACCCAGGAAAGAGCCGGGTTTCAGCAGCACAGGCTGTTCCTTCCTGACAGGGAAGGTGTGGATTTGTGAGGCACACAGAGCACACAGCTCACACACATCAGCCTGTGCTGCAGAAGAGGGGGAGCACGGCCCAGGAGCTGCTCCTCCCTGCCCCCAGGCACCCCCCACCCCGACTTTCTGCCCCTCGCTGCACTCCAGGATGTGCTGGGCACGGAGCAGGTGCCAGCTGCTCCGCACGGACTCGCAGCAGGGCAGCTGTGGTGGGAGGGACGGGCTGTGCCTCAAGCTGGAGGAACTGATCCAAGGGTGTTCGGCAGTCCCACCCCCTCTGGGTGACAACCACCCCAAAGAAACTCAGCTGCTTGTAACCATCAGCAAGAACACACCGAACACAGCAGCTTTATGTAAGAAGGAAAGACCCCTGGACAACAGATTTATTCTACTTCTACCACTTAATGGACACCAGGCCACTTTCTGTGCTTTGCTGGGTGCCAAAGTTTGGGAGCAGCCCTGCCTTGGGCAGCTGGAGCCTGGGCAGGCAGATTAAGTTGAGATTGTGCAGACATTTCAGCACAGGGCTGTTCCTCCCTGCCCGCCCTCGGAGCTGGGATGAGCTGTGCTCCTCCTGGCAGGCTCTGAGAGCAATGCCTGGACACTCCCCTGCCTCCCATTCACCAGGGCAGCCTGGGAGCTGGTGGTCCTGGCAGTCCTGTGGGAAAGCCTGGCATGCAGAGGCTCCCTGGAGCCTTTATTGGGCCCCTCTCACTCAGCGCAGGGCTCTGGAGAGCAGCTTCCAAATTCCTTCCAGGGCAGTCTGGAGCTTCTGTTCACCAAGGAGCCAGAGCCTGGAGCACAGAAGAGCCCAATAAAGTTCACCACGGCCCCTCTGAGTGCTGCCAGCCCCAAAACCCCTGGAGCCCTGGCCAGAGCTCGGGAGCAGCCGTGCAGAGCCGAGTGTGACTCGGCCCTGAGTCAGCCTGGCCCGGCCCCACCGCGCCCAGCCCGGGCTGGGCCAGCCCTGTCCCCGGGCTCCAGCCCACTGCCTGCCATGCTGCAGGGTGAATCCAGCTCCTCAGCCCAGCCCGTGGCTCAGGACAAGCCCAAAGGATCGACCCCTCCACTGCAGGCCCCCGAGTGGCATCGCTGGGGACACAGCTCTGGTGCTGTGCCCCCTCCGGGGTCTGTGTCCCCACCATCTTCCCACCTGATACAGGCAACCCACGGGCAACAAACATTCCAAAACTGAGCAGTTGAGCAAAACAAAGTTTAATGCTTCTCTCAGTCTCCTCCCAGCTCAGTGCCACCCCGCTGAGTGGGGGGACACAGTTTGGCAACCCTTCTGGCACAGCTGCCTGCAATGCTCCAGGCAAGAAGGCTCCAAGGAGACTTTCTTCATCCTAGTCAGGCTCATCCTCAGCCCTCCAATCCACAGGACTCTGCAGAGTGGCTCATCCTGGTGGCTCAGGGCACGGCTCTGGCTGGCATCCAAGGTCCCAGTGACGAGAAGAGAGTGGCTACATTCAACAGTTCTTCAACTGGCAGCTTTAGCTACTGGAGAAGGACATAAAGCTTGCCACTGAAGAACTGGTGCTGGCTAGCCAGGAGCAGGGTGGGCACAGCAGCACCTGGGAAGGGAACAGACATTTCAGAGGCAGGATTGAACTGTGCTGTGTCACCCACAGCAGCTCCTGTCCCTCCTCACAACGCTGACCCATTGCTCCGTGCTCCCCCCAGGGACACCCCCCCATCCAAGGGAATCCAGAGGCAGCCCCGACCTCAACTCTCCCATCCCTCCCCGCTCCCAAAGCAGGTGCTGCTTGAGCTCCAGCACCTGCAGCCAGCCCTAACCCACGCGGATCAGGCAGGGCAATCCAAGGCCATTTCTGCTGGAAAATAAGAGATAAAGCCAGCGGCTGGGGCAGGGCCGGTGGCCGCAGCAGGGAGGCCGCTGCAGGTGGGGGTGACGGCGCTCCCAGGGCTCACCTCGGGCATCCATCCCTGCTGGCAGGGTCCCACCTGGACGGGAGCCAGCTGCTTCCTGACGGGGGAGACACTTGGTCAGGCGGGGGAATTTCGGGCAGCTCAGCCCCTTTCCGAGCCGTTTTGTTGGAGGGCGAGGACGCCAACCCCAGGGCTGGTGTTGGACCCCGCTGCTTCCCCCGTGACCCCGGAAAAATCCCTTTGCTACAGCACGCGGCGCTTTGGCTGCTGGGGACCGAGTGTGGGAACCCCCCGGGAAACCGGGCACGGTGGGGGACAGACGGCCACGGGAAACCCCCGGGGGCCACCGCAGCATCCTCCCACCGGCGTCGCCCCGCGGGCGCTGCGGGCTGGCCGCGGGCCCGGGGGGCAGCGGGCGAGGCCGGAGCCCGGTGCGGGCGGCGGGGCTGTCGGTGCGGGGCCGGTGGCCGGGGCGCAGCGGCGGCGGCGGGGCCCGGCGGGGATGCCGAGCATTCCTGGCGTGCCGGGTACATCTGGTCCGGATTCCAGCGAGCTGGTCCCGGCCCTGCTCCACCCCCGCCGGCCCGTGAATCAGCACCCGCCGCCGAAGCCACCGGCCCCGCCGGCACCGGGGGACCCACCGGGGACCGACGAGGGGGGGCCCTGTCGGTAACGGGGCTCCCACCCAGCCCTTCCCGGCACCGACGGAGCCCAGCGGCTCTGGGAAGGGCCCCGGTGGGTGCTCACCCCGCTAGTAAAGAACGCTGTGCCCCTCTCCCGGTATAACCGGGTCACCCCCCCTCCCCCAGTGTCTCTCCTCTCGGTAAAACCAACTCCCCCCGCCCCCCTAACGGAGGCAGCTCCCCCCACGCCGCTCCACGGCAAAACCGCTCCCTCCGGGACGCCCCGCCGCCCTCCCGGCGATCCGCCGCCCGGGATGCTCCGCTCCGTGCCCGCGGCGGGGAGCGGCCGCGGGTCAAAGTCTGCCCAGTCCGGTCCCGGAGTGAAGGTCACCCCCGGGGCGGCCACCGCCCGTCGCGGGGAGGCCCCGGCCGCAGCCCCGCCCGCCCCACCGGGACC